AGTAGTTAAGGTGTCTTTAGCCTCAAATCCACTGCAGTTTTCTAGCAGGTCCCTTGGGAATAATTCCAGTGAGATCTTTCGTAAGGTTCTTAAATTTCAACACGGTTCAGCATAAAGAATTCTTTGAGTACCATGTTACTACTTGTCTCAGCTTCATAAAGCTCTTCCACAGGAAAAGAAGGAAACCTTGGAAGATCTTGAATGCTGGCCTCCTTCAGTAGCTCTTTCAGTCCTTTTCATAATCAAAGAGGGAGGAGACAGCAAGTTGTATTGAAAGGCAGGGTAGTTCTTCACATCGCAAGTTTGTTGCCATGAATCATTTTGAGCTGTAAGTAGACATTGTGGATACGTGTGCAAGGAGACTGCATGAAATCTTTGGGTTTGGTCAAATCCTTCCAGATGAATCAAGTTAAAGACTGAAAAAATACGATCAGTTTGGCCTAAACAGCATCTTAGTGATAGGGTCTTGCAATGAGGGGTGTCTTAGCTCACAGACCGCAGGCTTGCCCTGCATACTGCACAAGCATAGTGAAAGGTGCAATTGCTTGCAGTTTTACTGATGGTAAAGGAACCAAAATAAACTATATTGTCCAGAGCAGTTGTATAGGGTGTACTGTAGAGCATGTCATTAGCCATGCAGTATTTGCAGTGGGTCAGTCCAGACACAGAGATGCATTTTTTCCTGTGCTAGAAAGCTTGAGCAGCAGTTCTGCTAAACCTTTTTGTCTTTTTCTCTTTTGGGGGACAAATTTCAGGTCTCCCTAAGGGATAATCAAAATGCAGGAAGGGGATTGTAATGGATTCAGTTTTGTCCTAATCAAACTGCAGTGGCAATGTGTGGTTTACTTGCATTCAACTGAGCGTGATAAGAGCAAGGTGATGCAGCTGAGTCCCAGCACCAGCTTCCTCCAGGCAGCTCACAGGACAGCAGTGGTGAAAAAACATCAGTCATTTTCTATCTACGTGACATTGATTAATTGTTCTGAACTGCCTTTCTGTGCCTTGATTGCACTGCTGTTGTTTGCTTCGGCCCTCAGAAAAGATGGTTTAGAAAGGCAGAGTTAATGGGGTTCCAGGAAAAAAGAAAAAAAAGCTGAGAAAAATTGAATGCTTTGTTTCATTGGCTGCCTTTTCAAACAGCATCTGAGGGTTCTGTTCTATAAAGTCAACTATAATTTCTGCAAGTAGATTTTTACTTCATTTATTGTTAATGTTTTAAATGCTAAGATTGAAGTATGGATTAATTTAAGTCATGGAATTTTAGTTCTCAGAGGCTCTTTAGTCTTACTGAGTTAACATTTTAAAAAAAACAACAACAAAAAAAAAAGTTTAGAAATTATTATCATAGGAGGTTAAGAGATCAAATAGTACTTCTTGTAGCAGTTCTGAAAATCTGTATGTTAAAACTAGGTTAAACTTCCCAGCTACGCAGAAGCTATAATGCCTTTTTTTCCATACCTCATCCTTCTGTCTGTCAAATCTCTGTTTAAATAACCTGTGAGACCATTTTTTGCAATTCTTATGCAATTTATTGTGTTCAAATAATCAAGCTGCACAGGAATTGAAGCAGAATCTCCAGCTAATGGTTAAATCATGAGGGGAAAAAAAATCAAAGAAAATGTTTGGGTTTTTTTAATACAGTATTCGTACCAGCTATTTTTGTTGAAAAGCTTTTTTCAATGTTTAGACTTCAGCCTCAGACAAAAAGTCCTGCATGCGTTACTTATAATCTGTCAGTTTACTGTTTGTAGATGGAGAATTCTAAAATTCTTAGAGAATTTGAAACCAGCAAGGTTACAAATTGCTGTTTGTTTTCATTTTTGCAATAAGAATGTTGAAAAAGTTTCAGCTTTTTAACAGAACATAACAGTGGTTTTTAAAATCATGGTAAGTAATGAACAACTGGGAAATACTTTGGATCCAGTGAGATGGAAAAGTAGTAATAGTGGATGTGGCTAGTGTGTGGGACACAGATGACTGAGGCAAGCGAGGCGTAAGGGAAGAGTAGCAGAGAACTTAGAACTATAGATGGAGATCATGTCCTATAATTTGTTTAGTAAAATCATCTGTTGAGATGTAATTCTTGTGGTTTTAAAATGACGGTATGAAAAGGCTCAGCAGTGGGGCTTCCTACATATTTGCAAATATAACTTAATGTGCAGCTCTTATTAAGGACTGAAAATAAATTGAGATTATTTTTCACTAGTAACTACAAGCATCAATCTTCACAAAAAGCATTGTGAAAATAAGAGATACCACTTGGCAGGCTCATTAAAAACAAGACTGAAAAGCCTCTATAGGTAATATTTCCTTGCAATATAGAATCATAGAATAGTTAGGGTTGGAAAGGACCTTAAGATCATCTAGTTCCAACCCCCGCTGTCATGGGCAGGAACTCCTCACACTAGACCATGTCCCCAAGGCTCTGTCCAGCCTGGCCTTGAACACTGCCAGAGGGATGAAGCATTCACAACTTCCCTGGGCAACCCATTCCAGTGCCTCACCACCCTTACAGTAAATAATTTCTTCCTTATATCCAATCTAAACTTCCCCTGTTTAAGTTTTAACCCATTACCCCTTGTCCTATCACTACAGTCCCTAATTAAGAGTCCCTTCCCAGCATCCTTATAAGCCCCCTTCAGATACTGGAAGGCTGCTATGAGGTCTCCATGCAGCCTTCTCTTTTCCAGGCTGAACAGCCCCAACTTTCTCAGCCTGTCTTCATATGGGAGGTGCTCCAGTCCCCTGATCGTCCTCATGGCCCTTCTCTGGACTTGTTCCAACAGTTCCATGTCCTTTTTATGTTGAGGGCACCAGAACTGCACACAGTACTCGAAGTGAGGTCTCACGAGAAGGAGAATAAAGGGGCAGGATCACCTCCTTCAACCTGCTGGTCACGCTCCTTTTGATGCAGCCCAGGATACGGTTGGCTTTCTGGGCTGTGAGTGCACGCTGCCAGCTCACGTTAAGTTTCTCCTTGACCAACACCCCCAAGTCCTTCTCTGCAGGGCTGCTCTGAATCTCTTCTCTGCCCAGGCTGTAGCTGTGCCTGGGATTGCTCCGACCCAGGTGTTGGACCTTGCACTTGTCATGGTCAAACTTCATGAGGTTGGCATCAGCCCACCTCACAAGCATTTCAAGGTCCCTCTGGATGGCATTCCTTCCCTCCAGCGTATCAACCGAACCACACAGCTTGGTGTCATCGGCAAACTTGCTGAGGGCGCACTCAATCCCACTGTCCATGTCAGCGACGAAGGTGTTAAACAAGATCGGTCCCAACAGAGGGACACCACTCGTTACTGGTCTCCAGCTGGACATGGAGCCATTGACCACAACTCTTTGTGTGCGACCATCCAGCCAGTTCTTTATCCACCGAATGGTCCATCTGTGAAATTGATGTCTCTGCAGTTTAGAGGCAAGGATGTCAGTTGTAGATGGTTTAGGAAATTTATGAAATTTGAACCCAGTGGGAAAGGGGGTTAAGAGAAGCAGATGAAAGCTGGAAAAAAAAAAATAAAAAAAAATTCTCTTTCATGTCCTCCTGTTCAGCCTTCTCAGTAAACTTGTGCTTAATACTCAAAAATATGAATATTGTTAATTTAAGTAGCTCCTTCAATATCTGGAAATCAAGAGCCTTGTTGAAAACTTGGTGTCTCAAAACTGCTTTTTAGATCAGGTTTTCAAATATGCAAATAGTAAACTCTTACGACTCGTTGGAATTCCTAATGGATTTCAGTTTGTGTCACTTTTACATGACAGATGCAAACTTACAAGTTTGCCTTAAATGTATACAGCATGAATCAGTTCCTGGAGCTCCTAATATCTGGAAATCTAGTTTTCTGCTATCTTCTTCTTATAAGGTTTTTTAGATGCAGGGGGAGAGAGAAATTAGTAACTGCTGTGCCTGTGGAGAAATGGGTTCTTTATCCCTTTGTTTAGTCCTGTATAAAGTTACAGAAGGTTGCATGGCTGTAAAGGCTTTTCACATCTTCCTCATTGAGTATGTTAGCATGACAATAAAATATACTGCTAGTTCATTAAATTGGACTTGGAGATCCACAAATAGTCTCCTGTCTTCTGTGTGAGAAGTAAAACATCTCTTCTTAGAGATCATACACAAGTTCTCTTAAGCCAGCATGGTAGGTTTGATTTTTCTCCTCATGTATTTTGGAATAGGTTTTTGTGGTTACTTAGTTTTGCTCAGTAGTAGTGATCCATTTAAATTAAGGAGCTCAGCAAAGGAAGAGTGCAGTATTAAGTATCACAGAGTAGCAATTTTGCTTTTTCTATACTGTTTCCTTATTGCTAATTTGCTTATTTTGTGGGTGGAAATCTGAAGTTGAACAACTTAAAGATATTCTATATCATTTCATGAGAAAATTAATTGATATTTGATGATCAGAAGGTGGAGGGAAATAGTACAACAGCCCTTAGTACCTGTCTAGCTGGGTGTGTAGTGATGTGCAGATCCAGCACAACCAGATTTGAAGAGAGGTTAATGTACCCGAGGAATACAGAGGTTTTCCCCAGTCACAAATAAAATAACTGGTGTGCTTTGGGTAGGTCATCTGAGAAGTAAAGCATCAGATGTAACTCAGCACCTCACCAGATTTAACTGCAGTTAGTTAGACTTACATTTGCTGTCAGGACCTTAGAGCTTAGAAAATATCAAGGGAAACTCGATATAGAGCTTAGAAAATATCAAGGAAACCTTTATAGAGTAGTTTAATTCTGATTAATTGGGAGCAGTGTCTCATGCAACATAAGGGAATGTAATGCATCTTTACTGTTGCTGTGCATGGTTCAGTAATGTAAGCATAGCCTAAATATTTCCTTTTTACTTCTGCAGGAGAAGCCCTGAGAGGAAAAATAACAGTCCGCAAGAACAGAAAGGATCCACGGTCCCTCTTTATAACCCTCTCCATGAAGGACACACAGCAGACCTACAGCCTTCAGTGAAAATTATGTTCAGATATCAATGTTAAATTTAAATGTTAGAGTTCTAACTATCCCAAAATTATAAACTCAAGGGTTTGTGTATGTACACACACACACAAGAATATGCAAAGCTTATCTAGAATGTAGGGAGAAATGTTTGGATGCTTTTGCATCCAATGTAGATGTGGAGACTACAGAATCAGATTCTGCTGTGTTTCACATGATGTGGAGAAGGCAAGAAAGATGGTTTTGTTTACACGAGTCTACTAGGTGACAAAAATTGGGTTAAAGTCTTGCTGTGAGGAATAATAAATACAGTATCTCAATATTCTTTTTTCTTCAGCTGGCGAAATCCTTTTGTGATTTATTTTATTTTTGAGAAGAACCTAAGTTGAGATGCCAGTGCACGTCAACAGTAGCCAGAAGGTCCCAGTGAGAATAAGTGTGGAATTCCAACTGCAGGATTGCAGGAACAAAAACTTTATTTTTATTACACTTCTATAATTAAAAAGTTGTATCACTCTTCAGTTACATTTATCTAAATAAATGAACCGAGTATGTGGTATAACACAGTTGCCAGTTTCCTTGTTTTCTTTGTAATTGGAAATTATTCTCTCTCTCCACTGATGGCTCATTTATTTGTGGCTAGTTTTTCATGTACTAGCCTACCGGAGCATGGAAATATGTATTAGCTTTAGGATAAGTAGTGTGAAGGAGTTGCTGAAATGGTGGATTTGATTTAGCTGCTTCCAGAAACAGACTAAGAACAACCAAGGATTGATGCATGTGTTGTGATGTTTCTACATTTGAAACTGCAGAAGAGTTGGAAGTAAGTGTAACACTTTGCAGTTTATGTGCTTGTATTGTATATTTGTGTGAAAAGTGGTTTCAAAAGTTATTTCAAGAAGCAGAAACAGCAGCATTTCACTAGTGAACTTTGAACTGCTGTTAAAATTGTTAGGGCCTTTTTTGAAGGGTGAAGTTGAGACGGAAACCTGCTAAACAAAGCTTAGCTAATTGTATATTGTATAATGGGGTGAAATATTTTTTTGCCTAGCTAAAGAGGAGTGTTAGCTATATTAATAGCAATTTGACAGAAAATTGGAACCTTGTATTCTGAAAGCTGAAATTCTTCTGCAAAGCAGCACTTAATTTCATACAGTGAAGCCAGCGTTGAACAGGGAAGTGACAGTTGCTACAGTGCTACTGTATTTTTAACTGGAAAGAGTTGTGGATTTGTATTTCATCTTACACTGCTTTTATCCTCCCTTGTGTAAACATGTGGTTTCCTCATTTGCATCCAAATAATTTCCTTATTTTGGGAGGTGAGGTGGGGATTCTTTCCTGAGGGAAAACTACGGAATTACCTATAGGTGCTTAAATGTCCTGGTTAACACCTAGATACTCAAGAGCTCAACTCACATATGGAGCTTAATAGGAACACAGTGATAGAGATGATGTGTTTTAGGCTTGGTGGTCTGCTAACATTTTTCTGTCTCGGTGACATCTGTTCCTTTTGAAAATACATTGAGCATCTTCACTTCTTAAAATGCTTGAGTGTGGTTATCTTGAAACTCAGACTGTTCAACTCTATAAAAATTGACCTTGCAGATGAAGTGGCAGCAGTTACCATTGGGCTAAAAATGGAGTTTGCGATGGAGTTATTGTCACTGGACAATAAATATTCAGGCTAGGGGTTGGACTGATAATTTTGTCTATTGCCTGTAAAATCACAGGATATTGACAAAATGAAATTCTCTTATGGTGTTATCAGTACTATAAGAGCCAAAAGCTGGAAGAATCTGCATCTGGTTTTGATCATCTGATGGGTAGTTGACTGTGGGAGCTTCATGTCTGTTTAGTGTCACTAATGCTCTGACATACTAGTCTTGGACTAGATGGTCTTGTCAAGGTCCCTTCTAACTTCAGTTTTTCAGTGCTTCTACAGATTTTGTATAGCCTTCAGTAAGAGGGCATAAAATGGAAAAAAGGTTGAAAATGTGTAAAAGAAAACTGTGAATGCTAGCTTTTATTTTGTAAAAGAGTTAAATGAAGAACACCCCCCCCAAACTGCATCAGAAGAGAGGATTTGGTATCATTTAATCAAAAGACAATGTCCTGAGAAGACCTCAAGTGGTGTAAAGCCTGAGGAGGGGCTTTTGATAAAGGCATTGTAGTTTCAAAGAACTTTAAAATACATGAGTGGGAATTGATCTAATAGGCAGCATCACACAGCAGCCTGTAGAAATAGCCCATCAATTCTAAGTGGCGTTTCTCACCCTAGCAGTTGAATAGTATGAGGCTTATCTGACAGCACAATCAGTTATTTATGATTCCTAATGGTAATTCTGAGAATTAAATGTTGTAGGAAATGTGATCAATCAATACTCTTTTAAAGGGACTCTAATACTGAATCAGAGGCAGAAAAGTGGAAAGTAAATGCTTTGACTAGAAATACCCCTGAATTTCTCCTGTGAGAGAGAGCAGTACTTCATGCAAAAAGTGATCCCTTATTCTAAAGCATGTGGACAAAGGTGCAAATAACCTGAAACTAATGTTAAAAAAAAAAAAAAAAAGACAAAACCAACAACAACAATAAAAAAAACCCAAACAAAAGCAACAATAAAAAAAACCCAAATAAACAAAAAACAATAGTGTGACAATCGCTGTAAATACAGTTGTGCATTCTGCATAGTTCATATAATCCTAGACTGGTTTGGCTTGGAAGGGACCTTAATGCTCATCCAGTTCCAACCCCTTGCCATGGGCAGGGACACCTTCCAGTAGACCAGGTTGCTTCAAGCCCCATCCAACCTGGCCTTGAACACTGCCAGGGATGGGGCAGCCACAGCTTCTCTGGACAACCTGTGCCAGCGCCTCAGCACCCTCACAGGGAAGAACTTCTGCCTAAGAGCTCATCTCAGTCTCCCCTCTGTCAGGTTAAAGCCATTCCCCCTTGTCCTGTCCCTACAGGCCCTTGTCAAAAGCCCCTCTCCACATTTCTTGTCAGCCCTTTTAGGCACTGGAAGCTGCTCTTAGGTGCCCCTGGAGCCTTCTCTTCTCCAGGCTGAACAAGCCTAGCCCTCTCAGCCTGTCTCCATCAGAGCTGCTCCAGCCCTTGGATCACCTTCGTGGCCCCCCCTGGCTTGGCTCCAACAGGTAATGTTAGGAGAACGTTTCTCTTTCCAGATGGTAGTGATAAATTCTCTTCCAGCTACCTCTGGTGCATGCAGACTCCAGGTGATGTCATCAAGTACTTGTGCAGATACTTAATGTCTGACCTGTTTAATGAAACAGCTACAACTCGTTGCTGCGGAAAAGCAAACTCTGCTATTCTTGGGTGTTTTCCTCCTAGGGAGGGTGAGGAGAATCATGCAGGTTTATCTGTACTGGGTGTTCTATCCCTTCTGCTAACCCGTCTTCAACTTCCCTATCCTCTTACCTGCAGTTACAATACCCTAACCCACTTCTGTACCTTCAAGGACATTTGCTCCCTACACATTCTCTTTAAATTCCTTTTATTATATGATGATACAACCCAGTTGTAGAAACACGGCTGTTTGTCAGTTATTTGTGTATCAGGTTTTTTAATAGTTTTTAACAACTGGGAAAGTCATCGTTTCAGACCCACATTTATTACTTTATTCTGGTTTAGGCTGGGATAGAGTTAATTTTCTTCCTAGGAGCTGGTAGATGCTGGTTTGGCTTTAGTCTGATGAGGAAGACGAGAGTGAGTGAGTGGCTGCATGGTACTTAGTGTCTGCCTCTGTGTTCATAGCAGAAAGGCGTAAATTGTACAGAGTCTGATTTTCACTTATCATCTGATCCTATGTGTCTGCTACACCAGCTCATATAAATTGAGCTGATCTACCTCACAGCATGTATCTCAGTAGCAACTCTTTATGTGACAAAATCTGTGATTGTTTCCCGTAAGAAATACCAAATTGGTATATCCTATACGTTAGGTTTTTCACTAGCTTTGAAATTAAAATATGGCATTTATTTCCTTCCTCTCTCTCCTTGAGGTCTTTCTTCTCCTAACTCTCTTTCCTCTCTGTACTGGTATGTGTAGATAGAGTTTTCAATGCAGATGCCATCCCCTACGGCTGGTGGTTGGCTGCTGTTTGCTTACATGACTCATTCTTCCCCTCCTGTTTCTTGTCTGACATGATATGCAGAGCTTTTTGCTGTTGGCTGTATTTCAGAGCACATATCTCTTGTCCCTGGCCTTGGGGTTTTGCCTCTTCTAGGTTTTTTGTTGGCTTTTATTTTACGTGAACTTCTCATGTGCCCTGACAGCCTTCCCTTATTTCTGGTGACCCTTACTCCTGTTATCTGAAGTCTCTCCCTCCCATGTTAAACTGCTCCTCTTCTCACTGCTGCTTCTTCTGTTCTAAATATTGACTGTGCAGATTATTCTTGAGAGGTGCAACAGACTGTGTACAAGTTAAAGCTTTGCTTCAGCAATCGGCAGTGCCCGGAGTGTGCTTGATTTGCAGGCACGGCAGAAACAGGGAGGCAGATGCAGTAAGACAGGTACATAAAAGGGTTGTTGCGAATGGAGAACTACTAAAGCACACTGAAAAATCTGATTTGGTCTATGATGTGTTTCTAGGATGTGCCTATGATGTGTTTCTTTGTATCAAGAAAAAATTAATACACAGATTGGTAATTTCAGGTCTGTAGTCAGATGCATGAAGTAATACGAAATGTTGAAGTACCTTGCTTAAGGTGTGTAATTTCATGTGCAGAAAGAAAATATCCTTTAATTTAGGACCTTTAATTCATTTTATACATTAATTTTGTGAAACTTTTGCATGCAGTAAAAGGCAAACGAATACATGGTGGTTGTAGCATGTCTGGTTTCCAAAAGGATAAAAATTTGCCTGCCCTAAATTGTAGATGGCAACTATACATGTAATGAGAAAGAGTCTTTATTTGCAAAACCAAGGAATGTGCATGGTAGATACTAGCAGTGTCATGGAAGTGTGTATACATATATGTCTTATATACCCATATATGATCATACACCCATACTGGGGGCAAACTGAAATTTTCCAGTTTGCACCCTGCATTTCCAAAATACTGTATACTAATGACACTGGTTATGAATGCACATTGTATTCACTGAATGTTTTGTAGTTAAACTAGTTTTTTCTAGAAAAATACAAGTATAGATTAATCACTGTAGTTGTGATCCTCTTGAATTATCTTTAATATCCTGTAATCATTTCTACCTTACTCTCTTGAACAAGAAATCATTAAGAAAAAAATGCTGGTTTGGCTATAAATGATTTTTTGGCATGAAAGTATGTTTTTGTCATGCTTAATAATCAAGTCCTAGAGTTCTGAAGAGGGTTGAATGTGCAGAAGTTTTTAATGTTTAATCCAATAGTTAACCTTCTTTGCAAGGAATATTCTAAACTATCAGTTATCAATCTTTATTCAGCTGAAGTAATTTACATTATACGTAGGCCAAGGTTGAAGGTGTTAAGATTGACTAGTGATTCGTAAAAGTTCTTTTAATATTCAGATAAAACTGAAGGTTGACCCTGCCTCCTCCTGCTT